GACGTTTGGATTAGAGGAACTAATCTCAATCTAACATGTAAAATTTAAATTCTAAAATCGGTGAAATGAACAGAGACTAATTAGTAATTGGTTTTTTACTGTGATCGGTACCAAACAAGGCCACTTTTAATATGTTGATCAGATCGACCTTTGGATTAGAGGAACTAATCTCAATCTAACATGTTTGACACACTTCATTTTTAAAGGGCATATTAATGATGGTTCCGTCATCTTTTACTCCAAAATACGCCATAAGGACAACGTTTAAAACAAAACAGCAATTATGAAGAATTTAGTTTTAGGTTCCAAAACTAGTGGGTTTTTGAAAAAAAAATTATTAGAAGGCGTATATGACCCCTTTATAACACCACTGTTAAAGAAGTGAATTGATCCACTCTTATCGAACTTTCTTTAGCTTTCACTTTAGTCATTGGTCAAATGGTAACTACTTATTTTCAATGGTTGGAATTTTCTCCCCCATCTCTTTATATTTGAAATTTAGTTGGTTAAACTTTTATATACTAGACTTGAAATTTAGACTTATATATATATTAGTTTGGTGATGTGTTCCTGTGTTGAAGACAATTGAAGAGTTTATTGTTTATTAAATAATGAGAAATTCATTTATATAACCATTTAAGAATTTTTGAATTTATTTTAAAAAGGAATGTGTGTAAAGATAACAATGGACAAAAAAAAGGGATACATTTGAAGAAAAATATTTTAATCAATCAAAAATAAAATAGGATCACGTGCAGAAAAATTACTTTCATAGGAGTAAAGTGAGAAACAATATATATTTAAAAAGCATAAAAAAATTAAAATGTAAAAAAAAAAATTCACAAAATAATAAAGATAGAAAAAAAGAAAAATAGAGAGACTGTCACGTGGCAGCCCTATAGAAAAGAGTTTTGACTCTTTTATGTATTGTCATATATATATATATATATATATATATATCTATATATATTTATGAGTTTTCAGTAGTTACTTTTCCACCGGTGGTTACTATCAAACATAAAAATTCGATGATGTGACGTGATAAGAATCTAATCTCATTTATTGTTATAAATTTTTTGGTCAAATATTTAATTTATTATAACCGTCGGGTTAATATTTTATGGTTAAAATATTAATACTCATTGATGGGTAAATATTAGAATAACAACTAAAACTACACATATATATAATATACATTCACAATAAATGATAACTGATATCACAACCAACCCATTCTAATTAATGTTTGGTAGAGGGATTCGTTCCCTGATTCGAATCATGATTCGTGGTTTGCTACAGTATTTTCTCTCACAAAAAATACACGTAAATCGAAAATGATTCGAATAACATGGTTTGAATCCTCCAACCAAACGTAATTTGTACCCATTAAACTCCCCGTACTATACCAAACCCTTCACTCTAATATTATTTTGACAAATACTATCAAAAAGTAAATACAAGATTAAGAATCCAACCTTAAGGCAGATTGTAACAAAAGTAAAACAACTCCAGAGCAAAATACTATGCTTCCCAAGAAACTAGAAGGGTTGTACATTACGTCAAGCAAAGGTATACAATCCGAGCCTCATTAAGACCTTTTAATTAAAACTCAATGGGAAAAAGAGTCCAAAACTCAATGAAAATATTTAAACCTATAACAGGGAAGTCTCTAACGACTAGATTGACCCCATAAATCTGGAGTGTTTCACTACAATTGAGCCAATTTGTCCACAAACTGATTTCCTTTCCTATAGATGTGCGAGACAATATGAAAACCAGTATATCCAGCTGAGAAAGAGTTGATATCCATCTGGCTTTAAATCTCTAGGGTACGTTTGTACTATAAGCTCGCAACATAAGTAGTGACATTCAATCCATATATTCTTTATTAGTTTATCAATCTATCCTAAAAGTTTAAGTTATTATGAGGTGGGCTAATAATAATTTTATACTTTAACACTCTCCCTCACGTGTGGGTTGGACAATGGGTAATCGTATGGGTATTAATTGAAAAGTTCAACACGTGAATATTTAAGCCGAGATATATTAAAGACTCAATACATGATGACAATTTTATATAGAAATAAAGAGTGCAATTATGAATATTTGAACTCATGACCAACCTGCTCTGATACCATGTTAGTTTACCAATTCATCTCAAAAATTTAAGCTATTAGGAAGTGGACCAATAATAATTTTATATTTTAACACTTTCTTTAACCCATATCTATGAGCAAAAGCGCAGGGAATTCACCGTAAAACAACCTTTACCAAAACCTCGATAAGTCCCGAAAAGACCACGATAACTCGAAGGACTTAAAGCACCATTAGTATTATCTTTAGTCTAACCAGGATGTGGAGTGTACCAGTACTCCGTTTAAATAGCAGAAGCTCTATTCGACTGACTATTAAGAGGCGAACTCTAAAGAATTAGAAGATCATCTTGCGAATTATTCTGGGCTCATTTCAAGAGTACAGTAAGTTAGCGATGTTGGACAAATTCACAATCCAACACCATCCCTCATACCTAGCTTGCCGTGCTAAGGTCTAAACTCTAAACCACTATTGTCTATAAAATTTCGCTGGGATACCATGTTAAATGAATATTGATCGGCTAAGTTAAAGAGAGAGAGAGTACTCAAATTACATATACATCCTAACCGCCCAATAACTTAACTATATGAGAAAAATTCACGCAAGACTATTTTTTTAACTTAAAAATAATATAATCTTCTGAAAATACTTAGCTTTTGTAATTTACTTATCCTAGAATACTGCACTCTTTTTTCATTCGCTAAGATTTTGTTCCGATCTCTCTGCGGGTTTTACTTGGTAAGGTTTTTAACGAGACAGTCATTTATGTGTACTTATTCATATTATCTCAATTTAATAAAATCACATCTTTTAAGAACATATGATATATATATTTTTTAATTAAATTTTATAAAAAAAATTATAAGAATCAGTGTCCTCAGGCCCGACCCTAATAAGACCATGCACTGTGCGGGGCCGTACCAGACACGGTTCAGGCCCGCCACGCGGCACGCCACTTTTGAGAACTCTACATAAAATATATATTATCATTCGCTAAGATTTTGTTCCGATCTCTCTGCGGGTTTTACTTGGTAAGGTTTTTAACGAGACAGTCATTTATGTGTACTTATTCATGTTATCTCAATTTAATAAAATCACATCTTTTAAGAATATATGATATATATATTTTTTAATTAAATTTTATAAAAAAAATTATAAGGATCAGTGTCCTCAGGCCCGACCCTAATAAGACCATGCACTGTGCAGGGCCGTACCAGACACGGTTCAGGCCCGCCACGCGGCACGCCACTTTTGAGAACTCTACATAAAATATATATTAGTATATATACAGCTGAGAAACTTTTAAATGGTAATGGCTGTCGTCTTATTGTTCTTTTTTAAAACAACAACAATAATAATAATAAAGATTGTAATCTTTGTGGCATCTTTATCAGACCGCTTCAACTTCTGAGTGGGAGTGTGTTTCAACTGACAATCGTTAATACGTCCATCCAGGACATACACACACACATATATACATAAATATGTATTGTTTGTTCATTCCCTTGTTTTGTTCCTCGAAATTATCAAAATGTAGCCAAGCAAGTTGACAGCAACCATGCAGCTGGGGACAGAAAAAGGGGGAAAAAAAAAAGGATGGAAATTTTGTTCGGAAAATTACATTTTCTTTCTCATCTATATACCAATAATGAGAAGCTAAGTTTATCTATTGACTTCTGAGTCCACTTATATAAGCTTCAAAGCTAGTTGGTGTTATATTGCCAAAAGATATAAAAACACAGGCGAAGTTAGAAAAGCTTTAAATTGCCTTGGACTCACCTATACCAATGTAACATTTTTTGTACTTAATTTCTAAAAATCTAAAATGGATTACCAAAGAAAAATATAAACACTATAATTGAACTATTTGGTATTCTTGTTTGGTAGTTTCTACAAGGGTAACTTGCTACTATAGTGTTTTTTTTTAAACAAAAACAAAACAAAAAAAGGCTACTGCTTACTAGTAAACGCAGGGCAAATTGTGCCTTTGACTTTTAATAGGGTAAGTATTTTGTAGTAGTTAATTTATTAGTTGTTAGCTTTTTCTTGGCAAGAAACTTCTGAATAGAAGGAAAGACGCCACCACAGAAAGAAACCAGAAGACCTCACTTACCACGTGAAGGGCTCCTCCACAGCCTGCACTGCACGGCAATATACACACGGTGTGGACAAGTCTAACTTTTATGTTTTCGTAAAAAAAAAAAAAAAAAAAAAAAAAAAAAAAAAAAAAAGGAAAACTGAATGTTTTTGTAAATAATTTTAGAGAAAATCTGGAAGTATACCCCTTAATTCACTTTGTTAGTTTTAGAATTCTGACTTGGAAATTAATAGGTAGATATTGGGAGCAGAAATACTATAATATATTATATTTTAAAGTGGTTAAATTTTTAGACTTTCTTTCTTTAATAGAATTATTTTCTGATCGTTGAATCTGTTTAAAATCATGTTAAATTAAAAAAATATACAAAACAAATAATTTCTCATACGAATTTAACAGCTGAAAATTAAAGAATTACCCATAGCTAATCCTATTAGAGAAACTCTCAAATTTTTATAATTTCTTGGTAAAGGGACATTTATCTGGATTTTTGATAATGTTTTCTTTTTTTAGGGGAAGGATTTTTCATAATGTTATGCTCGAAAAATAATGTTAAAAGTAAAACGCATCACAAAATTGTTTCGGCAGAAAGATATATTTGACGAAAATGCTAAATGCCAGATTTAACATAGAAAACGATCAAAATGCTATATGTGACACAATATCAATATTTGTTTCAATATTTTACATGACATTTTATTTACTTTGTTTTCTTTAGCACCGGAATAGAGCTCAGGTCATTTCGTTGTATTTGTTAAGTTGTTAAAACTTTTTTTCTTTCTAGTATACTTATATATTTCATGGTAACTGTCAGGAAACGAATATTATAATGCAAGAAAATTACTCGTCAAAACACATCAAATATCCAATACCACTTTAAAAACTATCTACAGATCCTTGAATGTGAAAGTAAACAAAACAACACATTTGTGTCTGACACGGGAAGGATGTAACATGAGAGTTTGCAAGACTCTGCAAAAGTGACCATGCTTACAACTTTTTTTGATGAATATTGTTTAGCTCAGTTCAACAGTCCAACCCATCTTGTCCTCCGTGAGACCCATCTGTAATCTGGTAAGCACGGAGTAGAGTTTTTGCGACACAACACCGACACCCCCATCCGCATACGCCACCCTGCCCAAACAACAGATGACTATGAGTATTATGCTAGACCTCGGCGCCAGAAAAAGAAAATACTGCTAGCCTCGAACGGTTGGGTGCATGAGTGTGTGCATGTGTCCAGGTTTGAATTTTAAGAGTTTTGTTTACTGTTAGTAAATTGGGAGCCATAGGCCCTAAAATAAAATAAAAAATGCACACTCTCTTGTAAGATGATAACCAATTAATAACGAATGTCGAAACGTCGAGGATTAGTTTTTTCCTTTTGACATATTTTGCTTTTGGCTTTCCACTAATCATCTGACTCCGTCTACTTTCATTGTTATGCTCTATTCTAATAATGAAATTTCCCTCCTAGTAAAGGCAAGTAAAGAATGAGAGCTCATTTCACTCCAACGATGCATAATGAAAAAAAAAGTGCTTTTGATGTATTGAACAATCAAAACCTGATGTACTTTACCTTTTGCCAAGGTAAGTGATACTGCCCACAGGTGACACAACCACAGCTGTTCCTGTACAAAATACTTCATCAGCATCAAGTAATTCATCCACAGTCACGAGACGTTCTTCAACCTGCATGTTATTGTTGGATGATATGTAAGATGAAGTTTTCAAGAACAAATATTGGAAGCCAGGAGATGTAGAAAAATTACATGCCGAAACAATTAAAAGAATAAACCAACGCTTCCAAGATTGAGAGTAACCCATTGTCTGTTAGATGCATGATATCGAGCCAGTTTGATAATGGTCAGAAAAACGGGTAAAGGTGAAGTTAATAGCAATACTAAGATGTTGCTGCATCTACAGGAGAATTGGGTGTTTTATGTAGACACTAATACAGAACATCTTTCATGATACTACTTGGGAGACGTTGCTGGCATTATTTTTAGCGTTTTCGGTCAGTAAAAGACACTGACAAACTTGATCAAAAATAATAATAAGCAACTTCCATATGGAAAAGGGAAATAGAAAAGATGATGGCATCTTAAAACTGAATATTAATCGATCATATCTATTACTAGTTAACAAAGAAGTACCTGGAACCCTTGGCTACGAGCAGTGTCAATGATACTCTTTCGAGTAATACCAGGTAAGATCGTCCCTTTTATTGCAGGAGTAGAGATAACATTACCCTGAGACAGCAAAAAAATTGGGTTTATTAGCAGCACCACAAACGGGGGAAAATGCAAAAACACATGCCTCAAGTGCACTTATCATGCGTGGGATGATTAAAGGGGTAAACAATCCACAATCCAACATCTCCAATAGCAGCATATATGGAAATATGCTTTAAAAAAAATAAAAAAAATAAATAAATAAAGAAAAGACACCAGCATATATGATCAAGCTTTTCTTTTGGCAGTGGTAAATTTGAAGCAAATCAAGTCTTAGTTGCTTGCCAAAGAAAGAATGATGACAATCTAATGACAAATTGACAATAGTCGCACATAATCATGCCCTGCAAATCAGCAATGTTATAACTGTAGAAGGAACCATTGAATACCAAAAACCTGTGGTATTACCTTCACAACAAAAATGTTGCAAGAGGAAACCTCCTCTAAATATCTTTTGTGAACACAATCAAGGTACAGAACATCTGAATACCCTTTTGCTTTTGCAGCAGATTGCGCCTTTAGAACCTACAATAATAATTGAAGGATTAAAGAGAGATGAATCAGTAACTTAACACGAAAACAGAGCTTCAAAACTAAAAAGTTAGAAGACAGTAAACAACTGTTTGTCTAACAGGGGGGTTGAGGTTTTGTTCAGACGTTCAGTCGAGTGCACATATAAAAATCTAAAGAATGTGAGGAGAAAAAGAAAAAGAGAAAATATTCGATTATAGAAAGAACAAGCAAGCCACCGCACAAAATTATTATAATTTTATATGTAATACTGTATCGACAAGAAATGCTAATTCCTAATACATTGAGAAAATTACCCCCTTGTAAAGAGGTTATGAGAATGTTAAAAATAAATTAAAAAGAAAAATAAAGAAAACTAGACAGTTGAAGTTTGAGATCCAATCATGTAACTTGAAGGATACAAACAATGACTAGCAAAATTGATTTTAGCAGAAAGTCTATCTTACTGCAGCATAGTTTCCTATAGTCTTTACACCTCCAGTACCACCAGGAGCCGCACGGTGCAATTCATGCTCAACTATTAGATTTATTGGTGCCACACCTTCCTGCTAAGAGAGATGTGACAATAAGAACGAGACACATGGAATAGTATCAAAATGTGCAAAACATATTTAAATCTGAAAGAGAAAAGATGCATGATATTTTGAGTGTAATTGCAAGCAAAATTCAATCTTAAGTATATGATATTAAATAATGATGGTTTAATATTCAACTTAGGACCTCTAGTACTAAAAATTTCAAAGGCTCGACTTCGACTTAATTTCTTGAATGGACTTGAATACTCAATGTAAAATAATTAGAAAGTAAGTCAATAGCAGGTAAATTAATTTATGAAAACATTATGTTCCATTTCCCCGACTGTAAGATTTAGACAATTTCATCCCACAGGAAGAATTTCAAGTGTTCGCTAACAGATTTCACAAATTTCAGAAAGAAAGAAGTTACTCTGTGGCTCCAATTGGACGTAAACTAATGAAAATATCTTTTAATAGTTATCAGCCACTTAGCCGGAAACCAGAATAAGCAAAAAGCAGATCGTGATTAGATTCATGTCAAAAAGTACTATTCCAGATAGAGATAGTTAATAATCAAGCATTCATCCACGCATCATCAATTATATGAACCAAAAAAGGAGAAAAATTAGTGAACTTCAATAAAGGCAGCAACCATCTATTTCAAAGGACAATACACTCCATCAAAATCAAGTAAGGATCAAAGACCTTAAAATAGTTTCCAACAGGTGACACATAAATCAAAAATGTGTACTCGGGAGCGGGTGCAAGGCCAAGAACTGCTCCACTCCCCATAAGTAATGGCCTGATATATAAGGAACCTTTTCCAGCTGGGGGAATCTGAAACAAGATATTAACAACTTCCTTATCTTAGTGTCCTACTCATAATGCCATTAAGAAAGAAAACACCATACACGCTTTAAAATTGTATGTTACCCAACGTTTGTTTGCTAACACAGTAGCCTTTATAGCATCCACGAACTGTTCAACAGTTGGTGATGGCATGCACATCCGTTCAGCACCAAGCCTCATCCGACTTGCATTTTCCTCTGGACGAAACAGAAGTATATTGCCATCTTCTTTCCTGTAGGCCTTCAAACCCTCAAACAACCCCTAAAAGAACAAAGAGGAGAAAGAAAAATCCGAGGAAAAAGATAGAGTTATTTTACAACCAACTCAAATGCTGTAAAGCTAAATCAGTTAAAATACGTCCAGAAATTGAAAGTGCATACAAAGTATGAGAACAATATAAGGTGTAATGACAAAAAAGGGTCATTGACGAACATGCATAAAAACATCCAAATAAGGCCAGGGAATACTACCAAGAGTCTTGAGATGGATAAGACTTTTTTTTCGTTTTGATAAAAAAAGCTAGTTCAATTGTTCTAATCCTTAATCAAGAATGTTGTTTTCCCAGAATTTCTTCCCTTTACATCGGAATTGTCCAACCCGTATCTCTTCCTTGGGATTATATTCTCGAAAAAGTCAATGCCCAAAACATACCTTTTTACTTGTTTATCTATTGTTATCCAACGATAACCAACACGAACTTATAAAACCGGGATTCGAATGCGGAGTGGAAAGGAATATCGACTCAACCACAACCTTTAAACATCGAAAAGGAAAACGTCCTAGGACAAGAAAATCCCGCTAAGAGTCACCAAAATTCAGCCTTTTAAGAACCATCTAAGAAAACGTACTTTAAGGCCAGAAATGGATGCCCAACATCTGCCTTCAAGAGAACTCAAATGAAAACAATGACTATAACAATAACAAGGATCATTACAGCACAACAATCATAGTACTAGTAGTATTTAGTAAGATTCTGGAATCAAAATTTCACATAGCAAAATTTAGGAACTTGAAAAAAGCAAACATTCAAGGATTTTATTTAAACCTGGCCATAGTTCAAAACTCCAGCTGAGGGATTCAACTCAATGTTGCCAAACCTCTGCAATTCACCTCTGGAGAAGTTTCCGCCTTGAGGACATCTCATGACGTACATGTAATCCGTAGGAAGAAATCCAAATCCGAGGTTGTCCCAATCTATGTCCGCTAATTCAACCGTTTCGCTGCTCCATTTTTCCGCCGCCGCCAAACAAACACATCAGAAACACACACACACACACACACACACACACACAAAAAAAAAATCTCACTTACTCGGATTCAACACACAAACCAAAATGATATAAAATGAAATGAAATTACCTGTAAGTATCGGACAACGTAGCATTGCGGCGAACAACCGGAGAGAGCAATTGGCACGAAGAAGAAGAAGCGAAAGAAATCTGTTGCTTTTGCAGCTGCAGAAAATCGGATTTCCGAAAAGTCAAATCAGGGGTAGGAAAAAAAAAAGCAAGAACAAGATCATCAGAGTACCTTGAGAGAATAAGGAGAAGAGGAGAAATGGCTTCTGAGAAGAAGAGGAGGAGAAGCAGATGAATGGCGGGAGGAGCAAAGACTGGAGTTGGGCTGAAGGCCAGTCAAAACGGCGCCGCTTTCCATTTCGCCTTCTTCTCCGTTTGTTTTGTCTTTCTGTTTTCTTTGCTGATTATGGCGAAAAGTAAGAAGGAAGGAGGAGTTTGGTTTTTTGTGCCGTCTTTTTTAACCTAAGCTTTTCTCGACTACTTTATTCCTATTATGTTTGGACTTTGGAGTTTGAGTTTTTGACGTCTTTGACTATTGAGTTTTGACCCAACAAACATCAAGAAATTACACTGTTTATAGTGCAAGAAAGAACTTTGTACAAAATTTTAACATGTTTTTGGAATATAAAATGGGTCCAATGATATAATATAATGCCAAGGAGATTTGAGGAATCAGAATAAAGCTTAATGGGGTTTTTTTTAACTAAAAATGAAAAAGAAAATTGTTTATTAGTGTTTTGGATAATTTGAAGATTCTTACGAAAGAAGGGAAAAATAATGAATTTGTGACGGGTTTGTTTCAGGAGAAAACTACTCCTGTGGGGAATCTTTTTATTATGGCTAAAGATGGTGTTGGGTCAATTTCATTGCCTATTTTTTTCTTGGCAAAAGTTTTCTTTAAAAAAAAAACAATCAAAATGAATCATGTTTTACGATGTCTTAAGAGCCAATTAGCTATTCTTTAAAAGAAAAAAAAAGATTTTTTTTATAGTTTCTGTAAAAATAAATTATTAGTAATTTCTTAATTTTCTACCATCAGAATTATATAAGAATCTATATATTTTACATATTTTTTTAATTTAATATAATTTTAATTAAATTTAAAAGTTAAAAATTAAGACACATGTCCAAAAGACTTACAGAAAAACTCCCAAAAAAAAAACAAATTAACTATGAAAAAGGCCTTTTGATTTCTTTTTAAAGAAAATGAAATAAATAAAGATTCATTGTGCGAGTCCACGTACATAAAGTTCATGTGCTATTATTATTTTTATTATTATTATTTTCTTTTTTTGCTACACAAATGGTTATCTTTATTATATTTCTAACAGAAATGTAGGGTGCACAAGCAAACGAATTGGCCGGTTTAGTCGGATGCGGGTTGGTCTCTTTAAGGGCGGGATGGAAGGTTTTTTGTATTTTCTATGGTTTCCAATATAAGAAAATGCGAAAAGATTGTGTGTTTGTTGAATTGCCGAAATTTTTTACATTGATTCATTTTCTTGATTTTGCATTAGACAGTTTACTACTGTGTTTAGAGCAAGAATTCGTGTTATGGTTTAGATCATAGTTCGTGACTTGTTACAGTATTTTCTCTCATAAAAAATACACATAAATTAAAAATGGTCTTAAATCATGATTTTAAACCCATGAACCAAACATTCACTAAGAGTTTTCCACTTTTTGAGTGCAACGTGTCGTAGAATATGCGCATCTCTTCTATTCTAAGTTTCACTCTTTTTAGCCTTTGTAAATGGGTTTTTTGTTAGAGGTAGTATAAATGGGTTTCAGAGTTTTTGACAATTTTATATATTATAACTGTATTAAAAAATCGTATTCTGTAATTTAATTTTATAAATTTATACCTTCAAATTTTAACATGTTATGAAATCTCCTATCCCTATGTCATTGTCATTGAGTCTACCGTCCTCATTGCAGAATGCCGCCACCCTTGTCTCTAACATCCCAATCCCCTCACAGCAAGCAAGGCGGTTGCGAGCCAAGACGAGGGAGGAGCCAGTGACTTCCGTTTTTCTCCTTTGTTTTATAGGGTTTTTATTTTTTATTATTCTTTTCTTTTTTTTTCTTTTTAAGGATATTTGGCTCTTTTTCATCTGCTGTAATGAGCATGAGTTTAAAATAGATATAATGTACAAAATTTTAAAATACAATGCACGCTTTTTTGAGACTTGAAACATGGTGTTCAAAAACTTTTTTTTTTAGAAAAAAAAAAAAACACCCATTATCATATTTCTGTAGAAATTTTTATAAATCTAATATTGTAGTTAAGGTTTATTTAGAAAAGATATTGTCTATTCTGGTATTAAACACTTGTATACTACGATCCCGCTTATTTCACTAATTCAAATTTAAAATTTGAATTTTACTACAATAAAAAACTCTCATAAACAATCACATCTAATTTTTTTACTATAATAAAAAATTCTCACATAAAATCACATCTCAACTCGAATCAGTAAACTAAACAAGCCTTACAACAATTTTAAAATGTATATCAAACTAACATCCCGGTCCCGGACTGCTGAATACTCAATTTTGAGTAAAGCAATGCTGAAAAATTCCTTCAGTAGATAATTTAAATGAGATGTGCGAAAATGACCCTTTTTTCCTAGGGACATTTTTTCCTACAGTATATATTTATGTAAAGCTTCCTATTTTTTAGAGAAATCTCCCTCCCTTTTAATATGCGTATACAGCTACGTTTCAGTGCTATTAACCTTTAAAAAAAAAAAAAAAATTTTAAAAATCAAAGTGCTATTACCTTTAAAACGCCTATTACTTATTGCAAGCTAGTATATTCACCTCTATTAAAAAATGTTCTTTCAGCCAAAAATTAAAAAAAATAAATAAATAAATAAACTAGCGCTTCATAGTCCATACTCCATAACGCAAAAAAGCTAACACAACCTCTTTGTCTGCCCTTCAAAGGGTGAAAACACAACCTCTATAAATTCCTCAAAAGATTCAATTCACACAGCAAGCATATACAGAGTTAGCTCACCACAACACAAGTCAGAAGCCATGACAACCGAGTGTTTATATATCTTCACTCCCAGTCAACTTTGTCGCAGCAAAAGAATATAGATTTCACTAACTAACTATATATATATATATTTTTTTTTTTTTCTTTTGTTTTTTCATTTGCAATACTTTGTTTTTTTACTTTGCCCTACAGTAGTCCGGGAAAAAACTATAGGTGCACTCAACAAACGGCAAGAACTCTTACAACTTACTGCTTTCATCTTGTCTATCAGTTTTACCATCATGCTTTCACAGTGTGGTTTATCTACACCACGCTGTCTAACCTTCTGTACACTGTTGTGGAATCTCCTTTCCCTGAGACTGCAAATTAAAACATCGATGCGGAAAAGTGAGAAACAAGACAAAGGAAGCACGAGTTAATTCCTACAATCACAAAAGGTTGTGCAACAGGCATGCAAAAATTGGCTGACCCCTATACGGATACAAGAATTTATTTGCGGCACGAATATCTTAGAACCATAGATTCATCAAGGACGGCAAATGGAGAATCATCGTGAATTGGATATGTAAACACAAGTAAAATAAACCGGATAAAGCAAAGAAACAATATTTCAACCAACTAATAACAATGCTCGTTTTATTCATAAGAGAAGATACTAAGCTCGAAAACAGATTTATTTCTGGAAAATAAAGCACAAAGATTTCTCAATATCACGAGTCTACATATAGCGCTTGACAATTGCCATAATGCTAACCACATTCCAAATAGCGGTAAAACGGGGCTCTCCAGGAGATGGGAAAAAAGAAAAATAAACAACTCACCAATGAAAGAACGGGTATAGAACCTAATAGGGGCTAGTATAAACTAAAAACGTGACCCCTGAAATGACAATGCTATAAATGATATGACAATGCTATAAATGATTTCTTTTCTCTCACGACGACGCTATAAATGAGGTCTTTAGATAGGTAAAATTCCTAGCATCAATCTTCATACTACCACCATAAGACAACCAGGCAGCATAAGGCTTCACATATGTGACAATTTTATACGATGGGCGGTTATAGCCAAGCAGGTTGATAGCAAGCAACGTATAAGAAAACAATAAAGTGAAATGCGAGGGGGGGAAAAAAGGCAAGCAAACATTTATAATGCATTATATTGTCATGGAAAACACAAAATGACAAGCAAGAATCTATATTACCTGTTTTTCTTCACCAGGATGGATACCCAGGTCTGATTCTGCACCCAAATTATTATGGAGTTCAACATTGTCTTGATGTTTTGTGTGGTTAGTTTCAACTTTTTCACAAGTAACTTCTGAAATACTAATGACTTTATCTACAATTAATACGGTTGTCGCTTCATCACCTTCATGAGTTTGTGCAAACGAAATTGATGGATGTTGATCTTCATGCACATTATGCTGTTGCGATGTACCACTGAACCAAATAAATAAATCACCAAGTCACAAAACGGCAAAACAACGATATGTGGATTGAAATATTCTTTAACCATCTATACACCAACAAAGTTAGAGCACCTAAAAAATCTAAGGTCGGATGAAATGTCTTGTACCTAGGCAAAGTGCTTTGTTCTAATGAAATTTCACTTGCATCATGTTGTTGCCTCCTTTTCTTGATGTTTTGCCCTTGCTCAAGAGGTGAATCAAAATCGTTGTTGGAAGATTTTTTTGCTCTTCGTTTCCTTCCTGCCTGGGACTCTTGCTGAGAGATCGAAGGGGCACACTTTTCACTCACCTCTTTATCAGATTCATCTTCAACATCCTGTATTCCTTTTGCAACCTCACATGTCTGAGGCACTTCAAGAATCACTTTTGGTTCTCCAAAAGAATATCCTGGCAGCTGCCTCTCGCTGACAATTCCCTGTAACATCTCATTTCCATTAAACACGTGATCATGATTACCTGAAGGATTTTGAGGTCCAGCTACCGTCATGCTTGCATCTTCATCACGAGGAATTTGAGAGCTCTCTTCATACTTTGATGGAAGCTTCTCAGGAGACTGCCTAAAAATTAAATCAGAGCATCTTCTGATCCACGAGAGACGTGCTGAAGGAGGAGGGAAAAAAACATCTGCTTTTAAGTTGGATGGAGAATCAGACCCATTGCTAAGGTTGTTAAGATTATTTCCATTGTGCAAATTGATTTCACCATCTTCTGTATGACTTGACCGCTTCACATACCTTTTTCTGGAAACTTTTTTGTGATTAGGCACTGAATTGGATAGTTCCATTTCATTTCGAGCCATATTATCTAAGGCACTTTTGACATTCTCCAGTTTCTCAAGTTCTTCAATTTGAGCATGAATCTCCTCTCTGTCAACGTGCAATAATTCCCTCTGTTCTCTCAATTTCTCCCTTTGCACCCTAAGTTCCTCAATAACATTATTTAGCTCAGTCCATTCATGGTTCCTTTGTTCACGTTCCGAATTTATTTCTCTTCTCTCAGCTTCAAGCCTTTTCATTTCTACAGCAACCTGTTCCAATTCTTTTGAGACTTTTTCCTTGAGAGAGCTAATATTTTGAAGCTCATTTTTCTTCTCCAGCTCAAAAGCCATCTCTTTTTCCCTCAAAGAACTTTCTAATTCTTCACGCTTCTTATCAATACAGTTCTCCAACTCCCTCTGCCGCATCTCAATTTCCAATAAGAAATCTGCGCGTTCTTGCTGCATCTTGTTGAACCACTCAGATCGCTCTTGCACCATCTTGTTCATGAAATCTTCCCGCTCACGGCAAAGTGACTCAACATCACATTTGTACTGATCCCGCATGTCGTCCTTCTCCTGCCTTAGACTATCATATTCATCCTTAATAAACTTGGAAAACACCAATCTCTCTTTTTCCACCCGTTCAGCTTCCTTCCTTAGTTCCTCTCTCTTTTCATCAATTAATTCCCACTCAGCTTCAAACTTCGCCTTCTCTACGGTCAACTTCTCTGCTTCAGCCATTAGCTCTAGTTTCTGAGCACGGATAGAATCTATCTCATCCTTTAGGTTTGACTCAAAAAGTGATAACTCAATTGTTTCTGTTTTCAAAACCTCAAACTTTTCCTTGTCACAATCAAGTTGTTGCTTTTTGTCTTCAAGTGAATTCAAAGAGTTGTTCAGCTCTTGCTTCATTTTGATAGCCTCTTCTTTTTCTCTTTGTAAAAGAACTTTACTCAGCTCAACGTCCTTCTCAGCAGCTCTCAGACTTTTTTCTTTCTCTTCAAGAAAACTTGACATCTCCGCCACATCTTTCTCCCTATCAACCAATACGCTTGACTGAACTTCCAAGTCATGTTCTTTTTCTTTGACTAGGTCCTCACGTTGACAAAGATCCACCTCCCTCAATTCCCAAGCCCGTCTCTTAGCCTCCAGTTCATCTTCTACCGATTTGCGTTTCATCTCCAGCTCAGCATCAAATGCAGACTTCCTTGTTCTCAAACCAACTTCATGATTTGCAATAACCTTATGAATTTCATTCTGCAAAATCCATTGAACAACAATTTTAAAAAACAAGTAATTAATTATGAGAATAATACTTACAAAGTATCTTAAAATTTTCCCTTTTCCTCCCTACAAAATAATTAAATAATCAGCAATGAATACAGCAAAGCTTAATGTATGGCAGACAACACGAAAACAAGAAGGTAAGAAACTCACAGACTCCTTGCTTGCAAGCTTTTCCTCTGAAAGAAGTAGGTCTTTCTCTTTATCATTTAACAAAGCTTCCCTCTTACCTAAAACCTGTATACGTCGAAATAGATATTTGTTTTTACAATATATTACTTGCAAAATACAGACAAAATATAATGAAACTAACACCACCATTAACAAAGACTCAGAAAGATAAAATTCAAAGAACGAACCTCCTCTCTTTTTCGTAGGGAAACCTCTATCAGCTCTAACTTGGATTTCTCCTCACTCATGGCTCTACGCTCCTCCTTGATATTTCTTTTTGTGTCCTCCAACTCTTTCTCAAGTTGATCTAGTTTCTGAGATCGACTGAAAAGGTAATCTTCCCGCTGATTTAACAAAGCTTGTGCTTCAAGTGATCTATCCTGTTCCTGTTGTAAAGATTTCTGCCTTTCACATAAAGATTGTCGCTCAAGACTCATCTCCTTCTCTTTTTCATCACAACTGTGATAGGAGAAATGTAAAAAATTAAATAAAATAAAATTGAAATACATAAAAAGTTAAAGCAAATAAACAGCAACAAATAATTGAGAACATAAAAAAGAAAAGCAAGCAAGCAAATAAACAAGAAGATGACTCAAGTACATACTCCAACTTGAAACTTTCAATGCGCCTTCTAAGATCATCTTCACGGGCTTCAACTTCCTGCAGCTTTCTTTCAGCAACACTGCGATATCGACTAGCTTCTACTTGTAAAGATTCTGCTGCATGCAGCTTTGCCTCGGCCTCAATGAATTTCTTATGAGTTTCTTCCATCATACTATTTGCTTCAGCCAATTTGCTCTCAGCCCCAATCTTAGTTTCAGCGGATTCAGCGCGCATTTCATGCAATGCCTTTTCAAGCTACAGATATACAAATAAATTGGGAAATAAAAGGGCTAAGACTACGATTTTAACATGCAAGAAAAACCAATCATTGCTTAAAAATAATAATAATAATAATAATGATAGAACAACAACAATAAACCTACACTTGCTATGCACTCTTCCTTGACTCCTATCGCCTTCTTCAGCTTCTCTTCTCGCTTCCTTGCCTCAGCCAACACAGTCAACTGTGAAGCTTGATCACGCTTGGACAATATTTCAACTGTCTCGGCAGAGGCTTTAATTTGCTCATACTTAGAAGTGAACTCCTTCCTTTCCATTATGAGAAGACCCATGTGGTGTTGATGATCAAAAATCTATATCACGTGATAAAAATTTCAATAAAAGGTCAAAAACGGTCACAATCATTACAAGAAAAAAAAATGAATCAACACAGAGTTCAACCGCTCATATTACATGGATTCTTGTCTCAGGATTATAATTGCGCAGGATCACAAATCAACAATGCATGATGCAACGAATAAAAGTCCACATGCCTATTATAACACATTAATCATGTACATTATAATCACCATTAAGAAAGTCTATTTCAGTTTTAGTGCAAGTGATACCTTAAGAACAACTCCACTCCAAACAAAAAGAGGAAAAAAGGAAACAGAGGAATGAACTTATTTATATGGTAAAAGAAGTCGATTCCTATTACGAGATATACTAATGTGTTTAAAACACATACATAATACATTCATAGGTACAAACACAAGAGCGACCATATGCATAGTTACAGAAGTACATAAATACCCATATAAGGAATAATACACCTAAATTTCAACATATACGGAGCCCCATACATACATAAATACACAGATGTAGAAATACACTTTCCGTTAAAATGAGCGATTAATACGGCCACACACAGCATAGTGAGATTGAATTATTCGGCCTAACATCCATTCATTCAGATTGCAGGTTATACCATACACCTTAATTAACCAACATGGGCAAATTTCTCTGTTTTTCCAGACCTTAAATATAGATAAATACGATATCGGAATTTCAAATTCTTCGTTTTCCTTTCCATATTTGCTTGATATTCAAGAAAGCCTCCTCAAAAGCACCACATTGATCCAACACACAAGAAAAATCAAGCAAATAAACACAAACACCACAATCACCACAGGAAAAAAAAAAAAAAAAAAAAAAAAAAAAAACCCCAAAAAAACCAAAAAAAAAAAAAAAAAAAAAAAAAAAAAAAAAAAAAAGAACCTTCTTCGAGCAAAATAACGAAAAAAAAGTTCTTGAAATTCACAAAATTGCAAAGAACCGCAAAGCAGAAAAATTAGGGAAAAGCGAACCTCAGCTTCAAGCTTAGCAATATACGCTATGAGCGCAGCCTTGTCTCTTCGCCGAATCGATTCCTCATCGAAGCCAGCTTCTTTGAGACGCTTCCATATAGCTTCGTCGCTAAGAGGGCTCTGTAAAACCCTAGAGCCAGGCGTAATCGACAGTGGCCGACCAGAACTCGGCGTCATCAGTAGCCGCTCCGACTGCGGACTCGCCATTTCCCGGCGGCCGATCAACGATCAGAAACCCTAGACTTTCTCTCTCTTCCTCTTTCTCTCCTTTTTTGGGCTTAGGACTTAAGATTTTGATTCCGTGCTCAGAAATCGTTGATTGATCTGGTACTCTCAAGCTTTCCACTTTTTTTTTTTCACTTTCTTGCGCTTTCTCTCTCTAACTCTCTCTCTCTCTCTCTCCAGGACGAGTGTAACGACTACTTGGACTGAGTTGGGAAATAAAGAGCTGTGTTTTAGAATTACAAAAGTAAACGACGAGACGGAGAAACACTATTGTCCCGGTTGTTTTTGATAAAGACAAGAAGATACGACGTCGTGGAGAGAAGTTGGAAAAGGCGATAGGGCAGAGAAACGCTATTGTCCGGGCTGTTTTTGATAAAGACAAGAGAATACGACGTCGTGGAGAGAGGTTGGTAGAGATTTTAAATCCCCCCAAATCTTGTTTTAAGCGGTGAGAGAGAAATTTAGGAGAAATTAATTGCGTTTAAGACTAAATTAATATGAAAGTCAAGGTAGATCCCACTTTTTTCCTCGGGAAACAATTAGAAAGAGAGTTAACCGTCAACGTCACTTCATAGACGAGATTTTTTTTTCTTTTTTTTTTCTCTTAGAAATTAGAAATAACTCGTTGAAATCTTTCATTTTACATTTTCAAGAATGATTATTTTATAAGAATAATATTAGGGACACAAACTCTAATTTTTGTGTAATAACTAATATGATATATGAGTTATTTTTTTTATTAGTAAATATATTTTTTTATTATTAATTGACATGATAATCTTTTAAATCACATTAATATAAAAATGACAACTCACGTATTATATTAGGTGGTACATAAAAATTAAAATTAGAACTGTGTTCTTTATAAACGGAGCCAAAGCTAGCCCAGTGGGGGCAATTTTTTTTCCCTTTTAAATCTTATATATATAATTAAGTATTATATTATATTGGTAATAATTAACCCCCACTAAAATTAATGTTATAATCTTATTCCAAACTAAAAGCCCGATAAATTTTTTATTTAGTTATTAGCCTCTATTGATAAAAATTTATGGTTCTGTCACTGGTATCCTTAACATGTGAATCTTTTTCAAAATGTTTCCTAATTGTTTAAAATCTTTTTTAACACATCCGATACATAAAAAATTATATATAGAAGTTCACTCTAATTTAAATTAAATTTGTATGTCCTCTTTGTATTGGTGATAACACAATCCTAATTATTGTATAAGGGAAATAAGCCACACACACACACATATATATATATATATATCTTTTGAGAATGAAAACATGAAATCGTTCTAAAACGGCATTTCATATAATTAAAGATAAAAAATAGAAATGAAAATGATTTTTTAGTTTAGTGTAAAATATGAGAGAAATAAAAAATGACTTTTAGTTGTTTTTCATTTTTTGTTTTCGTTTTCTCCTCTCTCTGGAGAGAGAGACCTTAATAGGTTTTTTTATACCGAAAATAATCTTTTAATAAAACTACCAAACGCGTTTTCAAAAATGATTTCTGTCAGAGATTGAAAACGTTTTCTTTTCCATTTCCATACAAAAAAATAAAATCATTTTGTCTTCTTGTTGCCAGTAAAGCATGTGACTAACCATAACTAATAACTGATTAATCATGCCTCTATATATATATATATATATATATATATATATCCTAGAGATATTGTCTTCTTGTTGCCAATAAAGCATGTGACTAATCATAACTAATAGCTGATTAATCATGCCTAGCAAACATGATTAGGCACTATATTATAACAATAACATATTGTATACCACCTCTCACTTAAGTTGATGACTAAGCCGGTAAACCTAATGCTACAAATTCACCTCATGTGACTTCAATCCACACTAAAATTTTTAATCCTTAATACTTTCGAAGTAGAACTACCTTCGTAATATAAATATCCTCATAATACTTCCTAGTCCTTAATTTGTCATTCTTATTAAATAAAATTCCACTAGACATTGATAAAATACTTCCCATATCATCCCCCACGGAAATGTCTCCGAGATTAATAAATCCATTCAAAAATCTAAAAGTAACCAAATTTCATATAAAAAAACTAATAACTATTATTTTTCTTAACTAGGCTAGTAGCTCAAATAATGAATATTACATAAATTTTTTGTTTTGTATAATTTTTTAATTTAATATGATTTTAACTAAATCTGACAATCAAAAACTGACTCTACTGGTAACCCAGTTTATGGGGAAGGTCGCAAAAATTATTGACCCTGATTTTTTTTTGTTTTACTTATAATAAATAATAGCTACCCGGCATGTAGTAAGTCGTACTTAAATGGCACTTCTTTAGCTCGCTGTTGAAGATGTGATATAATATATATCACATGAGTCTCGTGTATAGGGTAAAATATGGACATTTCAGTATGTTGTGCGGAAAAATATGATTTGACACGTCGGACAACAACAACGCTCCATGTGGCCTTGCAATAACCACGTCAGCCAAACCGTCGACTCGTCATACAGCCGATCTAATAAAACCTCAGCTTTTACTCAACTCACCCACATTAGGGGTCTCGTTAAGGTCAACCGTGTAAAGGGCGGCGCCTAGCCTAGTTCTCATCTGGGCTCATGAAGCCGGCCGTATATACATAAGGCCAGCTGGAAGCTAACCGTATAAACGTGGGACCCCCTGAGGAAATGTGTGCACTGAGAAGAAGTTTGTAATGTAGGCATTAATTACAAGTACTTAAACAATTTGACGGTGGAGGGTTACAGGGAGTGCAGAGCCGTAATGGAGGACTAATTAGATGAATGAACAGTCCAAAAGGCTATTAGCTGGCTATGGGTCTAGGCCCATAGGATGGCAAGCACTCGAGTGGAGGTCTACAGAGAGGTCTACAGAGGAAAACCGCCCATGAAGTAAACTTGGGCTATAAAAGAGGGGCAAAGCCCCAAGCTCGAGAGCTTCTTCTTTTCTTTTACATATGTAATTGGAGAACAGAAAATACATACAACGAAACAGTGGACGTAGCTCTTGATTAACAGAGTGAACCACTATAAATCTTATGTGTCTTCACATTTGAGTATCGCTTTTCGTGTTATTCTCCACCGCAAAAGTACAACACACACTTCATAGTATCAATTACACTTTCACAATCAAATTTTGGCCGGTAACCTCATGGGATACCAAGAAGTAACCCGGCATAACCCAGTTGACGAAATTTAACCGTCAACACAGTATATTTAGCAATGAGAATTTTATGGTAAAGTAGGAGAACAAACATCACGACGAAGCGGGGAAAAAACGAAATGCACCTCAACAAGAGAGAAGAAAAAACAATAGCATTGTCCTAATAATAATTTTCTTTTAAGGAAGATTTAACTGAAATTTCGTATTACACCCTACATGTGACGCTCACTTAATCTATTCCGTCCCATTTTTAATAGTAAATTAACAAAAGGGATATTTGTTAAAATTCATAAAACATGGTGGTAGCGATACCTATAAATAAAAAAGTCGGGATTAAATTGAGATTTGTCCTATTTTTCATAGGGCAATAAAGAAATTGGCACAATACAGTTTGTTCGGTTGAAATAGAAAATCAATATTAACTCACACATTACAAATGTAATATAAAATAAAAGTAATAGAAAGACCATACGTGGCACGACATATTGGGTGCGTCTGGAACTCGTTCCAAAATGATTTTACTTTTTATATGAAAATGAAAATGAAAATGTTTTCAATCTCAGACAGAAATCATTTTTGAAAATGCGTTTGGTAGTTTTATCAAGAGATTATCTTTAGTATAAAAAAATCCATTAATGTCTCTCTCTTTGCTCAAGAGAGGAGAAAACGAAAACAAAAACTGAAAAATGACTAAAAGTCGTCTTTCATTTCTCTCTCATTTTACACTACACCAAAAAATCGTTTTCATTTCCGTTTTTTATCTTTAATTGTGTCAAACGTCGTTTCTCTTCCGTTTTTATTTTTTTCTCAAAAAACGTGAAAAATAAAAATAAAAACAACTCCAAACACAGTCATTGTTTTGAGATTTACAAAACTAAAAACTATATAGCTCCCTCTTTTCTTTTCATCTAATTACAAATGCAAAAGTAATCTTCTTAATTAATTGAGGTAGAGCATTTATTAGTATTCTGTTTGCACAGGCCATTGAACATCACCAATAAGCCCTCTCACAACCGTTGTAGTACATTGCAATGGGTTTTACTTGGCTCACATCTATGAAACACAAGAACAATGATTTACGAGTTATAATTATCATTAGATGAAAGGAACATATTTGACTATATTCATAAAAAAAAAAAGATAAAATAAAATAAAACGTAGAAACATTGCCTATATTATAACTACATCATCATGAGCATGCAAACATTTTAGTGAAACCGCAAATATTGCTTACTGTGTCGTTGTGTGTACATTACCTATACATACATATAACTATATGACTATGATCAATAAAGAATTTTTGTATAGAATGTTTTTATAAAAAAGAAAAAAAAAGATTTATGGATAAAGGATATATTTATGGATAAAGGATATATACCAAATCCAAAGTTTGTGACCATAAAACTTTGCACAATCCCGTTCATTTCGCTGATTCGAGTTTAGAATTTAAGTTTTGTTACAGTAAAAAGCTCTCAGAAACAGTCACATCTAACTTTTTTGTTACAGGTTGGCTCCGTTCATTTCGCTGATTCGAGTTTAGAATTCGAGTTTTACTACAGTAAAAAGTTCTCACAAACAATCACATCTAACTTTTTTGCTACAGTAAAAAGTTCTCACATAAAATCCCATCTCAACTCGAATTAAAAACTCGAATCAACGAACTAAACGGGCCCTTAAGCTCTTACATAAAATCACATCTCAACTCAAATTACAAATTCGAATCAGCGAAGTGAACGGGCCAATAGTCCTCCATTTTGTCAATTCTATAAATTCATAGGCACAATTTTCGGAGCATATACCCATATACACTCTCCGAAATCATAACGTCTTTTACTTCTTTGAATGAAATTCGGGGGATCTTGGAGCCATCAAATATTTTTTTAGTGAGAGGATCAAGAAGTTGGCTTGTAGAAAGTGGAGGAGAGACAGAGGCAGAGGAAGGATAAGTCATTGCTTGCACAATGATTTGCACAAATGTTATGATTCTAATCATTATAATCGCAAAATTAACCCTAATACTCACATTAGTTTTAGCTATGTCTCACACTTCTTTATCTCTTTTCTCAACTTGTGTTATTTCACAAATACTCTTAAACAAAAAGGGTAAGTAACCATAACTTGTAGTTATAGGCTTTCAAACCTTCCATGTTAAAAAAAAAAAAATTTTGACAAAATTGTAGAATTTACCTTTGAGAGTGTATAACTCTGAATTTTTACCTCTCATTTTTTATTAACACCCTTTTACTAGTATAGTTATTTGACTAAAAATGTTATTAATCAAGAGTTATAGATAGAAATCCTGGCTCATGTACTTTTAAAGAGTATTTGTCTTCTTTCCCCAAAAAATTTCTTATTATTAGAAGGGGGATTTGTTCTTTATTAATAAAATTAAAATGTCTTTGCAGACCTTTCATGTTGATGTTAATTTGAAGTGAACTTTGTTGGTAGGGCTGTTCATGGGTTGGGTTGGTGCGGGGTAAGACTTTTTTTTCCCCGCCCCAAAGGGTGCGGGTTGCACATATTTGGCCCCAACGATGTTAGAAAAATTTCACAACCCAACGATGTTCGGGTTGGGTTGGGGCGGTGCGGGGTGGGTTGGGTGGTCGGTTTCAACATTCAAAAAATCAAAGACTTAAAGTTCAATATAATATTCAAACTTCATTATTAAATAGAAATAGCAACTATCCTTATCAGTCCGGCGAGAGAGCACCGGAGAAAGTGGGCAAGACGGTAGCCGAGAGGACTGAGCAATGAGGAGAGAGTTATGAGGGGGTTCACGGGAGGGGAAGAAGAGGGAAAACTGAAAAGGAAGAGGTAAGAAGAGGGGGTTCACGGGAGGGGAGACCGAGAATGAGATTGTGAACCCTAATGTTAGTGAGCCTAGGGTAGAACTTAGGCAGTTTGGCTTGGGCCAAAAGCTTGGGGGTATGTTGTGCGGGTTGGGTTGGGGATTGCGGGTTGTTATGGGCCCAACCCGCAATCCGCCCCAAACACTTCGGGCCAGAGGTATAATGAGCCGCAAATTTAAAAATAATGCTGCGGGTTACTTTTTTCGGCTTGGGTTGGGGCGGGGTGGGTTGGGTTTGCGGGCTGTTCGGGTTTATGAACCGCCCTATTTGTTGGTTCTAACTTCTAACAAAGGGACGTAATTTTTTTTTGAGGGAACAAAGGGACCTAAATTAGTGTCTTTTGCTTCCGCCATTAGCATAATATATATATTTCTTGTAAGAATTGTAGTGATTTAATAGCTAATATGTTGGTAATTAATTAATCGCGCTATAGCTCCATGTGCTCAAATTTAGACCAAGATCATAACAACTTTTAGTAAACTGCACTGGTAAGTGTTAAGCACCGTAAAATCTTATTGGAAAGACTCGTCATGTCTACGCAGTTGAAAATTTTCTTTTTTAATTTGTTCCTAATTTTTAAGATTTCACTAGTAGTTGCAGACTTAGAAATTTATTCCACTATTTAGGAGCGTAAATTGAGACAACCTTAAATGTGGCACGACAAGTTTTTGAATGAATTTCGTCAAATTTTTTTTTTTTCAAATTAAACTGTTATATCTCTACCTGTGTTGTGCTTTTTGGGTTATAAATTCAAAAATTTTCCTTTAAATAAAAGTTTTTGACTCTTTCATGTGGAATATAATTCTAACGGTGCATATTCAGAGCGTTTGTTGGCCATGGAAACTAAATTCCTGGAGACGTCATCTTCTTCTTGCCCGGCAAAATGGTGGAGTAGTTTGATCTTGTGGGCGGATTCTGAATCTTTTTGTGTTTGTTTTTCTTTTCATTTTTCTAATAAATTAAAGTAGGGTTAGTTTGAGTTGTTTAATAGGTGTCAACCTAATCTAGATGTGTTAAGTCTCTCTAATCTCTACTTCCCTATATCTCCATTTACTAAAAAGAAAAAAAAAAAAAAAGAGAGAGAGAAAAAGTTACACTAAAAAAACCAGTACATCCTAACTAGGTTGATACACGCAAGAAAACTCATCCGACACTAAACCTTCCACTTAATATTATTAATTAAAAATAAAATGAAATATTCAGTCTTGATCAGAAAATAGAAATTACATAATTTGAAAGAGGAATAAGCGAACGAAAAAGAAGAAATAAAGAACTAAACAACTCTATAGGGTCTACCCTTACCCCAAACCACAAAGAAAGGGGCCTCATTTAAACCTTAACAAGGGAAAAAAATGCGAAAAACAAGATAAAAAAGAAAGAGAGAATTACATGTTTTACTCCATAATTATCAAACCTTCTAATTCTACCTTTTAAAAAACTCTACCCCTTTTATTTATATGAGATATTTTCATCACAAATTGAAAAGATTAAAATAGCCACAGATTATGGATCATAACCTGATGGATCATACTATGACTGACGCCGATGTAATGTATTAGGTTATGGATCATAACCTGTCAGGTTATGGTCGGAGACCCGCCAGTGGCCGATATAATCTGTCAGGTTATGGCCGGCGACCGGCTAGAAACCCGCTGGTGGCTGGTGTAATCTGTGAGGTTATGGATCATAACCTGTCAAGTTATGACCGGAGACCCGCTGGTGGCCCGTGTAATATATCAGGTTATGGATCATAACCAGTCAGGTTATGCCGCCGGCACATCTTATAATTTACTAATGGACTATTAAGGGTAACTTTGAAATTTTAAAAATGTTTAATTTAACTATTTTTATTATTTTATTTTAATTGTAAAAGGGTAGAAATCAATAAGTTAATTTTTAGGGGTTAGAAATATATTAGGGTACCTACTTGAGGGGTATTTCCCTTGTTTTCATTAAAAAAAAAAAAAGAGTGCATTTCTAGATGAGGAATAAAGGAAAATCTCCGACATCGAAATCGATAAAACAAAAGAGGCGACTAGTTCTCTATAATGAACAATTGCGAAATGAAATTGATCTCTTATCATTGTAGAGAAATTAAAAAAGTTTGTCCTCAAGGAATTGCCCACTTTGAAATTCATGTGAAACTTTCAATCGCATCCTAAGTATTGCCCACAAAACAGCTCGGACGCCTCCAATTTCTATTCCTTAACTTTCAAGTCACGAAGAATTGAAGAAGAAAAAGAACCGTTATTATTAAAAAGATCAATCACATGACGAGTGAGGACAACCTAGTCGGCTGTAAGCCCTTCTACCTCAATTATGGGTCCTCACATTAAAGTGATGGCATTTCCTACTCCTCTTGTATCAAAAAAAAAAATCGATCACATCTCAGTCAGAGATAAATTAATCCATTAAATTTCCACAACTTTATTAAATTAAGGGAGAAAGAGGGAAATAGGCCAAGATTTGAGATGAATTAAAATTAATAGGCCAATAGTTTACATAAGTTAATAAATAGGCCAACTTACTATTTCCGTTCATAACTTGTCTGGTTATGAACCATAACTTGACAAATTTGTCCATAACTTATCTGGTTATGAACCATAACTTGACAAATTTGTCCATAACTTATCTGGTTATGAACCATAACTTGACAAGTTATGGCCTATTAATTTTTATAACTAAAAATTGGCCTTTATACTTTCTTAAGCTTTTCATATTGGCGTATTTTCTACTATTTTCCTTAAATTAATTAAATAAGAACCCAAATTAATGAAATTGTTATCACGGCCTCAACCTACGACAATTAATTAATTAGGTTTTCATACAAAACAATTTTTAAGATACAAACTGGTCATACTTTTGCTTAGTTGTAGTTTTTCTAATTGTTAGAGCTTCTTTCAAGGCATTTATCTTTGACTTTGTATACTTTTTGATGCTTTCATTCATACATGATGTACACACACACACACACACACACATATATATATATATATATATATATACACCACTTCACATATATCTATCTTATCTTAGACAAATTGAAACCGGCGGAAAGGGGGATAATATATATATATAATTGGAGAACGTCATTGATATTATTAATTTCTATATACATATCATTGCATGTTTCATCAACTCGTCATGCTAGAATAAGGAACTACGACCACGGAAGAAAGAACAAAACTTCTGAAATTAACAACAATTCTAAATTAGCGAAAAAAAAAAAGCACAAAAATTATTAACTTTGAAACATGTAGTACTATTTCAGCGGCCGGCATCGAGACTTGTACTCATGAAAGGCTCGCCGGAGCTCACCGACGGCGAAGGCACATGATAAACAGGAACAGGCATACTCGCCGGAAGATTCGGCCAAGTGGCCTCAAAATTCAGGACCTGAATCGCTTGCTTTATCGACGGCCTTAGACTCCGATCGGGGTGAGCACACCACAACCCAACAATCATCGAACACTCGACTTGTTTCTGATCAAAATCTAGTTGTATTCTCTCATCCACAGCCATGGCAAGCTTTCCTTTCCCATAAAGATCCCAAACCCATTGAACCAAGCCCATCTCCGAATCCTTCTCCGTCAGATCCACCGCCTTTCTCCCCGTCGCGATTTCTAAAGCAACCACTCCAAAGCTGTAAACATCAGACTCTTTACTAGCTCTTCCTGTGCTGACATATTCCGGAGCCAAATATCCTAATGTCCCCACCAACCCTGTTGTTTGCGGACCAAGCTCATGGTCCATAAGCCGAGCTAGACCAAAATCGCCTAGTTTAACGTTAAAACTAGAGTCTAACATTATATTGCTTGATTTGACATCTCTATGAACCACACAACGTTCCCATTCTTCATGAAGATAGAGCAAGGCCGAGGCTAATCCGAGCGAAATCTTGTACCTTACGCCCCAAGAAAGAGGACTTATTCGCTTGTCGAATAGGTGAGAAGCTAGGCTTCCATTCGGCATGAACTCATAGACAAGTAGAAACTCACCTCTATCATGACACCATCCAATTAGTTGCACAAGATTTCTATGCCTAAGCTGGCTGATGATCTTCACCTCCGTCAAGTACTCCTTTTTGCCTTGCCTAGACCCTCTCGAAATCTTCTTCACCGCGATCAAAGTGTCCAAATCCGGCAAGTAGCCTCTGTAAACTGCTCCAAAACCTCCTTCTCCTAGCTTTCTTTCTCCAGAGAAGTTGTTTGTAGCCTCGGCAAGATCCTTGTAAGAAAACCTTCTTGGCCCTGCTCCTCTCTCGAGATCGTCGTTGTTTATTGATGCACAATTAGTACTCTTCGCCTTTTCTCTTATCTTTTGCTTCCGTTTGCTTAACACTAGGAGTGTTATGATAACCAAAGCAGCTATCAAAGCCCCACCTGAAACTGTTACACCAACTATGAGTCTTATCTTTTTCCCAATATCATCTCCACTTTTTTCTTTTATCTCCAAACTTGAGCTGAATTCCCATGAATTGACAACTGCCCTCTCGCCATAAACACCAGTAGTACCCGAGAATCCAATTGTGACCCACTGAGGCAAAACCTGCATCAGATCGATGTGGTAAGAAAGGCCTGTGACATTCTCCCTCGGACTAGTTTGATAACTCCAACGAGCGCTCAGACTCTTTGTCGACGCGTTGTACGAAATCCAAACATCGGTGTTATCGTCGCTATGCTTGCTTGCATTCCAAGGCGTTGTAACTGCCGAATGAATCGAGTTGTTGTTGATACCGACGTGCTCGTGAGGAGGATCCCACTCGGGGTTAACGAAGGAATCGAACTCGATCATAACGATTTGGTTTCGCGAGGAATCGCTCGTGGTGGTGTTGAAGAGGCCTAGAAACCCTCCAGCTGAATTGGGCGGGATTTGGAATCCAACAGGAGCAAGAAAAAAGGTTATTCCATGGCCATATTGTGAGCCTTGAGTTGTGATGGTAAAGGAAAAGTGGGTTGTGAAATCAGCAGCTTTTCCTGTGTGAGGGTCATAAAGAGGCACTTTCTCAGTATAAGTTGCCCGGCCAACTCTACAAACGTAGTTTACTTTGTTGATTAGTTCAATGGCTCCAACAGAAGGTATGGCGTCTCCTTGGTAGGCAATGCGTGGGTCATTAGAGTCAAACCGAGATATTTGGAAGTTGAGGGGATAAGAGGAAGGAATAATTAGGAGAGATATGAACAGAAAAGTGAGACGATTTTTTATGGTGTGGAAGAAGGTCATGATCATGGCTGCCTTGATGATAATGGAGAAGAACAAGTTTCAGACTTTCAAAATAACTGCTTGCTTGCAACTTCATCTTATGAGGCCATATATACACACATATATATCAGTGATTTTTCAATAATACGCTTCCATCGGTGGTTACTTATTAAATATAAAAATTTATAATTAATTATCATGTATACATTTTTGGTCAACTGCTAAATTTATTACAACCGTCTAATCAATATTATACGGTTAAAACAATAATACACACTAATAAATAAATATTAGATTAACTATTAAAATTATATATATATATATATATATAGAGAGAGAGCTTATGTTGTAGAGGAAATTTGTTTGAATATTTGTAGAAAGACTTGATTCAGATGTACTGCCGGATTAGTAGAGTCAACGCTTGGAATTGGTATATAAATATTTCTAACTATTGTGATGATTACAACATGAAAGGGATTTATTAATTCTTGCTTTGGCATTACGAATTTATTTTGTTAATTAACTATCATTGACAAACTAAATAAGCGACCAAAATCTAGGGAGAAAGATGATGATAATGCACTCCAACTACAAGTTCAACCTAATTCAATAGTGGTCTGCCAGGAAAATACAGGTGATAAGCATCATAAAGAAATGTTAAAATTAGAAAAACAGTTTTTTTGTCTTTTCTTGCAGAGTTGACCGTAATTAAGGTAGGCAATATCTTAAGAAAAGGCCTTTATTGTTGCATAGTGGAATGATTCCTTAGTTGTTATCTTTTTCCCTTACTAAAAAAAGGCGTTGTTCAACAATTATATTACATTTGCTATATAAATAATGAATAGAGAAGAATGCAATATATATATTATCTTCGTTTGCATCTCTCAACTAAAAAGAAATAAATGTTATGTTTAGAATTGATCATGTTTTTGTTTTTTACGTTTTTTGAGAAAGAACAAATGAAAGCATTTTTAAAACGGCGTTTGGCGCAATAAAAACAAAAAACAGAAATGAAAACGATTTTTTAGTTTAGTGTAAAATGAGAGAGAAATGAAAAACGACTTTTTTTTATTTTCGTTTTCTCCTCTCTTGAGCTGAAAGAGAAAAAGAGACATTAATGAGTTTTTTTACACCGAAAACAATCTCTTAATAAAACTACCAAACGCATTTTCAAAAATGATTTCTGTTTGAGATTGAAAACGTTTTCATTTTTATTTTCATATAAAAAATAAAATCATTTTGGAACGAGTTCTAAACACACCCAAAAGGTTTGTGATTAGCATACAAATAGCTGTCCATGAGATATTGTGATTCAAACTCTGAGAAAAACGGGATGTCGTATGCAATTCGGTCCATTTGTCAGTAGTAGTTTAGCCATCAACATCTCACAAAACACATCTCGAAAATAAAATAAAAAAAAATTATCCTTAGAGGAAGTCAATTTATGTCCATTTTAAAACTGATAATTTGGATTGCTGATCATTTGGAGAGAGGTGTGCGCTTAAAAAACATTTTTGATTTGTTTGCCCATGTCTTCATATTAATGTTATTCGACGCTTTCTTTCATACAAAGGTCTTATGACAAATTCTTTTGTGGTTGTTTGTTTTTTTTTTTTTTTTTTTTTTTTTTTTTTTTTTTTTTTTTTTTGTTAAATAAACGGTACTCCAAATTTAATTTTATTTGGTAACGCGAGCCCCTATGCCACTATTCTTTATTATTTTTTGCTGATTAATTGTGTTGCACTGTAAAAAGTAAGAAATTTAATTCCCACAATGATTTTATCTCAAATTACTCTTTAATGGAATAGGATATATATTGAGCGGAGAAAACAAAATTTGACCATACTTGAAAATAAATTTGTGAATCACTATTCACTTGGTATATGAACCATAATCATTATGTAGGAAAGTTAGCTGAGTGATTAAAGGCGTAACATTAGAACAACTATGTAGGCTTTTTTGCTTAGTAAAGGTTTAAATCTATCTCTTTTCGTACACTTCACTCGATTCACTAATGTTATTAATTTTATTTCGTGATCTTTTTAAGGTTTAATATATATATATATATAAATACTTGATGCCTATTTCTCGTTTTCAGTTTTCCTTTCCTTCTCCCCCTCACTCAATAAAATGAAAAGCTCACAATTAATTATACATATATATATATATATATATATTCACAAACATAGTAGCGTACGGGTATTTGCATTTCCGGTTCCTTCACATGATCTACATTTAAGAAATGAACCATTAACAATCAAAAAATGATTAGTGCAATCTTATAATATTAAACAGAATGGACATTTCTAAATATTAATATAATTAAAACTAATTATATGTCACCTGCCTAAAGAAACTCTCATATGCCATTTCCTTAGGCGAAATTGAGAATCCAGTCAGTTTTTTGTTTTTTAAAATTTTTTTAAAAGGTTTATTCTTTTGTCTGGATTTTGTATTTTTTTTTTTCCTTTTCCCTTTTCTAATCTGGTGGTTTGTAATATGATAGTGTTTTCTGAGTATTGGTGGAAAAGTAGTTGGGTTGTTTTGGAAATTATTCTTCATAGTGATTATCAGCCAATTCATTCAAAAAAATGATATAGGATAATATTACAAAGCCAAACTAAATGGTAACTTATTCGATACAATAGATAACGAGGAAACATTATTTATGCAAGTTGGAAAACAAAGAAATCCCATCCTTTTTTTTTTTTTTTTTTTTGCTAATAAAAAGTTTAAATTAATAAGTAAATGAGTTATGCCATTTGAATAACATGAATGTTCCATGTGCGTACAATCAATATAAATGTGTTTAAAAAAAAAAAAGAAAAAAGAAAAATAGATGCAAGAAAATAAAAATCATACCAAAACCAAAATTTGTAGTCATGAATTTTGTACATCCAAGAGTACGCTTAGACAAGAAATTCTAGAACTTGATAGGCACAATTTTCTGCGCATTTTCCCATACATTCTCCAAAATCAAAGGCGTTTTTCTTTTTTTTAGGCACTTTTCTCTACCACAACGTGCAACGCAAATTGCCAATTTGGTGTTTTCTTTTACTCTTTTGTATGCATTTCGGAGTTTTGATTTGAGTCCATCAGATGAAGTGAAAGGAATAAATTGGCTGGGTGGATATTGTCGAGAAGCGAGTGAAGAAGATACTAGAATAAACCCTATCATAATTAGAATTACGGTATTAATCTTAATGCCCATTTCAGCCAATTGTCCACCTTTTTTTTTTTTTTGGCAAAATTGTGTTGTTTTTGAAAATGTGAATGATATAAAAAATTTATAGGATTTCGAATTACCTTCTATCATGTACATATTTAACTATTCAAAATTTCGGATGAATGTTGTACTATTTTAATTTATTTACTGTTTAGCTTTCTGTTTATATTTCATAAAGGAAGTGTTTACGTAATTAATTATTGTGTATATTTTATCGGTTTTCAAAAGCTAATATCGGCCGAATCCTAGTATTCATTGGACAAAGAATCTTGAATTTGTCATTGTCAATGACTTGCTTTCTTTTTTTTTTTTTTTTTGGGTAAATTTGTCATTGTCGATGACTTTAGGTGTGGTGAAATTCTTGCATGCATATGGTAACCTTATACGTATCTCTTGAGTAGTTCATAAGGCTTTTTTTTTTTTTTTTTTTTTTTTTTGGAGATGATTTCACTATGTTGGCTTAAGCAAGTTCTAAGTGTCATAATTTCCCACCCCTTTTAAAACAAAGGGTAGTTGTTTCACTATACCCCTTTGTTTGTTCATCCCCACAACTCTTTTAATAAGTAATAATTCATCTATATTTTTTTTAGAGAATTGCATGTAAATACAAAACAAAATTTTCATTCTCACACTTCTTAAAAGATACTTTAAAAAAAAAAAAAAAAAAAAAAAAAAAAAAAAAAAAAAAAAAAGCTATTCTTCTTAAAAGATACTTTTAAGTGGGGGAAAAAACTTCACTCACCTCTCCCAATTAATAATATTTATAACTTATAACAAATTTAGCATTATTTTTTTTAACAATCTCATACCAAAAATTTTAACTGACCCCAATAATCACGGAGCCATATATATGAAACTCATTATGTGTTCATCAAGATCCATGATAGAATTTCTTACTCCATTATAAAAATCTAGTTAGGATAATAATGACCTATCTCTTATTTTTTTTATGCACATATTTCAACATATAACGATATAAGTAATTTGAAAATTATATTTTTGCGTATATTGGAGTGTATCATTTCATTGTTGCAAAAAAAACCTGTTAAAGTTGAATCAAGGAAAGATTCAGATTGCTTCATCAGCAATGGTAGCGAAAATGGAGACGGGTGGGAAAAGAAGGAAGATAAGAGAGTTTAGAAAGTAAGGGAAAATATCCTCAACATATTCCAGGTATTTACTCAATTTTGAGTTTTAGGTTGAGATGAAAAGATATCAAAGAAAGGGAAGAGAAAGGGAAAAACTGGAAAAAAAAAAAAAAATCAATTCTAGGGATTCTTTCGGAATAAATAATGGTATAACAAATACTAAGTGTGTTTTATTATTAAAGAAAAAACATGTCTTAATTTTTTAATAAAGGGAACTTTAAAAAGGGTATCGAAAGAGTAAATTAGTGAGTGGCGACAGAGCCACTAACGAAATATATAGGAATCTAAAATATTCCATTCCCAATTTCGGAAAAAAAAAAAAAAAAAAAAAACTATTCTCACCCCTAAAATTCTCCATATACCAAACTCTCCTAAAGCTATGGGTAAAGCATCATAGGAGCTTTAGGACGATCATAATCCTGAAGGAAGATTGAAAAAAAAAAAAAAAAAAAAGCCATTGAGATTTTGATGTAAGAAAAATCATGGTATACACTTTCAAGTCGAATCAAATTTAACTCTCATATTATTTTATCTATGCACATATCTTTTTTACTAAAATAAAATTTATGAAACCTGTGTGTGTTTTTATTTTCACATCAACAACTTATTATTGCGCGATATTTATTGGATTTAAAATTATTAGTAATACAAATTATAGTTTCATGTTTGTGGTATTAATTCATGAAAGAAATAAGGATAAAAACTTCATACCAAATACGAAGTTTGTGGTCACACATAAAAAATACTAATAATATTTTTATCAAATAAAAGTGTTTATTAAATAAAACACAATCCTTTTTTTTACATCAAATAAGGCACAAATAAGTGTATGCATAAAAATTAAATACGTGACAGGTTGGTTGACTGCAGAATATTGAAAAACCATCAAACTTTTAATCCATCAATCTAAGAAGATAAATGCCAATTTTTGAACAAGCCAATCTACGCACCATTCACCAATCTAATCTTTACTTTCAAAGGACTTAGAGATGGGGTTTGAAATTAATCAAATTGAAGACACCAAAATGATAAGGAAAAAAAAACAAACAAACAAACAAGAACACCGAGTTGTTTTTCACAACAAATCTGCCCTAATAAAAGAAAATTCATATTTGTTTCAAACAACTTTATAGTTAATTTCTAGTTACAGAAACCAATTACCTAAAATATTCTCATATTAATCAAAATTACCACCAAATCCGAATATGCATCATTCTCAAGAACAACCATGTCTAATTTACTCTTTCTTTCTCTTCTTTTCATTCAGCATTTCCTTTTTGTCAAATCTAATGCTCCTCCACCGCCGCCTCTAGCGCCGGCGTTATACACCTTTGGAGATTGCCAAGTAGATATTGGCATCAATCCGGACTTGAATATCAGTTCATCAAAAGTAAATTATTATCCTTATGGCATTGATTTTGTAATTGGAGCCACCGGCAGGTTCACTAATGGTGCCACGGTTGTGGACTTAATAGGTAAAATGGAAGGAGAAAAAAAAAATGAAAATTACATTTTGATGGCAGTGATTAAATAAATAAAGAAAGTGCTGGAACCCCAAATTATTTCTTTTTTTTTCCTCTTTTTTTTTTTTTTTTTTTTTTTTTTTTTTTTTTTTTTTTTTTTTTCAATTCATCCATGATTCTATATGATGATACATTTCAAAATGTGCCAGGTGACATTCTTGGTTTGCCAGTGTCAATTCATTACTCTCCTGAAAAAAAATCAGCCAACACACTCTCAAAAGGATACAACTATGCATCAGGGCCTTCTGGCATCCTTCCTGAGACCGGAACTGCATCTGTAAGTCCTCTTTCCAAATAGCAAAAAATAAAATAAAATAAAAATAAAAACAAGAAAAGGGTGAAAATGTGAAAAAACTACTACGAATTTTCTTTTCAAAATGGCTTTTTTGTACAGACATCCCTCAAATTTTCAAACTTGAAAATTTGGTCCCCATACTTTTTTTTCTTTTTTTTTTGCTGGCAATTGACTAATTTAACTTAAAAGTCTTTGCAATTAAGGACTAATTGAAAATAAAGCCTTTCTTAAAAAATAAAAAAAAAAAGGATTATGATCACATGATGCATACTTGAGTGTCTATTGAGGGCAATGATCTGGACACATTAGATAATTTTGATATTAATATAACCAAACAAATAGGGTAAGAAATGGTTTTTATTATCCCCAACAGATACTCACATGAATATCACACGATGATAATTGAAAAAAGAAAAAAAAAACATTTTTTTTCGATTGGACTTTAATTGAAAAAAATTTTAACTTAAAAAAAGGTTAATTGGCAGGGAAAAAAAAAACAATAGAGACCAAATTGCTAAATTTGAAACGTTAAAAGGGTGTTCTTACAAAAAAAAAAAAAAAAAAAAAAAAAGTTTTTCAAAATTAAAATTATGGTCATGACCAAATTCTTGGAAAATATGTTGTTAATAATGAACAGACCAAAGTAACTACTTTGAACTCTATATAATACATTGTCTAGCGTCCAAGTTGGAGCATGAACGAACAAATTGCCATATTTAACATGACGGTCCAAAACAATCTGCCAAAACATTTCAAGTGCAAAGCTGAGCTCGATGACTACCTGTCCAAGTCTCTCTTTGTGGTTGATATCGGCACCAGCGACTACGAATACAATTACCTTCAGCCAAACTATTACAACACCAGTAAAAGATACAACCCAGAGCAGTTTGGCAATCTCCTTGCTAATCAATTTGGAAAACAATTAAAGGTACGTATTGTTTTATCATTCATCACTATTGGTGCTGTATCACTACATGTGTGTTAAAAACGAAGAATTGCGTCCCGACAAAAAATATGACAAGTAGCAAAAGGCTAGGCAACAACTCAGTATGTTGTGAAATTCTTTTTTTTTTTTTTTTGGTAGAAAACGTTCAACCGAATCATAATTCATTAGAGCCAGTATTTTTTTTTTTCATCATCTCCTCTTTGTTTTGTTCTGCTGAGGACCTGTTTCGAGTCTTTGGAATGGCTTACAAAAGTTGTTTTTGACTTTTTTAATGCAAAATCTTTTTACTTTTATAAGTTGCTTTGAAACAATCCAACTCATTAGTGCTTATAAAAAAGAGTTTATAAAAATCATTTTAATTTACCTTTTTAACGCTTCATCTGTGAGCAACAAATTAGAAATGTCATCCATATTCTTTTATTACATTACTTTTAATAATAATAAGAGTTTTTGACTTATCTAACCAAACATATTTAAAAACGCTTCTAGTTTTAAAAAGCTTTTTTCCATGTACCATCCAAACAGTCAAAAAACAAAAAAAAACAAAAGGAAAAAAGGAAAAAAAAAAGACTTCTACTATTAAAAAGCAAAACAAAAGTTATCCCAAAACGAGCCCTAAGTTGAATGGAACTTTATGAGCAGCATTTTACACTCTTCTGGTGTGGCTACTTGCAGGAATTGTACAACCTGGGAGCCAGAAAATTCCTGGTGTTTGAAATTGCCCCAATTGGGTGTTATCCACAAGCAGTGAAACGTTATAAGCCAACTACCAAATGTGCTGAAGATATCAATAATCTTGTGTTAATTTTCAATCGGAAGCTAGAGCATAAGGTCAGAACATTAAGATCAAGATGTAAAGACGCACACATCACCATTGCAAAAACATATAGCTTCATCCTTGACATGTTAAAAAGACCCTCTACATATGGTAAGAAGATTTTTCATTTTTCTGATAATGGAAAACACAAGTCAAGTTTGCAAAAACTGAGCGGATTTGAATGGGGCTTTCGTGCAGGATTCGAAGAAACTACACAGCCATGTTGCTTGGTTAGAAATGATACGATAGGCATATGCGCTCCAAACAAAAATCCATGCAGCAACAGGAACAAAGCCCTATTTTGGGATGACAACCATTTGACCGAGGCTGCGTACAGGCTCATGGCCGATAAATGCTTCTCTGGCTCGGATATATGCACACCCAACATCAACAAGACTCTTTCCTCGGCTGAACCTTGTATGAAGCCGTCTTTGGTTCACATGTTTTTCCTAGTGCTCCTATATGGGGTTTCTTGTTTTCACAAGACTTTTGGATTCTGTTGGTAAATTTAAGCTCATTGATATTTTTCACTCAAAAAGGCAAAGGAAATTAGGTAGGTTCTGGGGATGAAACGACTGAAAAGGCAATTTGTAAAGCAAAGTCTGACCGGTCCTTAAATTATTCTGTTGGTAAATTTAAGCTCATTGATATTTTTCACTCAAAAAGGCAACGGAAATTAGGTAGGTTCTGGGGATGAAACGACTGAAAAGGCAATTTGTAAAGCAAAGTCTGACCGGTCCTTAAATCACGGGTTGTTTAGAATGGGCAAAGGCCTCTTTGGTCACTAGTCCAAATTGTCTGCTAACTATTCTTTATCAATGATGCAGTGCACAGTTTTGGACTATCAAATTTTTTTTGAATTTAATCGTTATGATATGATGGGATTAATCTCCTAAATATTCCATGAAGTTTGTACACTTGTTTCAACATGCACCCAAATTTTTAAAGGAGTTCATTTCATCTCCTGAATTATGTACCCTAGTTCAAAATGCCCCTTACATTTATAATACTAACAAAATGATGATGTGTCACTACTTATAATTTTATAAATGCCCACCAAACTAATGATTTTAAGACAATTTGTCCCTTAGTTTATTACTTTTGCATCAACTTGCCCCCCGAATTATTCAAAGATTGCGTGGCTAGTTGACGCAAAATCAATATGCAAAAGAGTATTTATGAAAGAACATCAGCTAAGAGGGTGTTTTGAACCACTTTACATATTTCATGAGATAAAATGGACCATTTTTAAAATTTAGGGGCATATTGAACTAGGGTACAAAGTTCAAAGGGCATCTACAAAATTAATCCTATAATGTTAATATAATCCAACTGCCCAGAACTGCGTAGGATATTATAGTGCCCTACCACAGAATTATCAAAATAACTATAACAAAAAAGTAATAATATCAATTGGTAAAAGAAACTGGTTCTGATAATTCGTGGACTGACCTTGGGATTATTATGGCTGATATTCCTGGACTTAGAAATGTTGATATGCACTCGTGGAATTACAGCAGATAAATTTTTACCGTGGCAATATAAGGTATGACCTTGCCAGTAGGATCCATTAAGTTAGAGAACTATGTACAGATAGAGACCAAGAGTGACAACTTTTGACCTCTAAATCACAAAAACTTTTGTCTTCCTCTGATAGTAGTTGTCTATCCAGCCTTTTATCAGCTTGATCTCAGTTTCTCTCAGCTCTACTAACCAGTCTGGATCTTCTTTGGTCGAAGCGCGTAAATCTATATGATGGGCTCCTGATAAATAAGAAATGAAATATACAATAGTTTCAGCAAAAAGATCGGGTTAGGCATGGCTAATTACCTGTGAAATGACTCTTTATTGAAAAGAAATCGATAACAGTTCATCAAAGGAGTTAAAAAACACAAAAGTCAAAGTTGCCTCACTGAAGCTAAATCTCTCTCTCTCTCTCTCTCTGTCTCTTTAAAAGGGGAAAAAAAAAAAAAAGGAAAATCATACCTTCTTCTCTCTCTCTCTCTCTCTCTGTCTCTTTAAAAGGGGAAAAAAAAAAGGAAAATCATACCTTCTATAGTAACGAGAGCAACGATACTTTCAGATATATTCTGCAGAACACTGCATCAGATATATTTCAATGCATAAGAACTTGGATAACGACTGTAAATATAACTTTTAGCTATCATAGAAATAGAAAGTAGATAAATATGTTACCCGCCACCACTCCATGGATCCAACAGACCATTGAAGAAAATTATGTTACTTCCAAATCTTTCCAAATCTGCCTTGATATCCTACAATATAAAAGTCAAAAAGTATCAAATCTTAACAACGTAAAAGTATTACATCAAACTCGATCAGGCGCAGATAAACAATTCAATATGTTGTCCCATTTCTTTTCTGGGCAGACCAACAACATCCAGTGTTCTTCCATTTTGTTTCTTTTCATTTCTTTCTTCATTCTTATACCAAAAATAGTGTTAAAGATATAATAAGCATGCCAGGCTCTTTTGATGGAAATGGAAAACAACTTTGCAAAGGTAAAAGCATATGGATTTGCTCTCCTACATGTCCACCAAATTCTGTTGTTATCCATCTGGGCCTTGGTTTTACACCAAAATCATTCCAGCACTGTTCTTCATAAGCTGACAAGTTAAAATCATAACGTGGAAACATGCTCCCCCAGCTAGAAGACGTCGGCATTACCATCTCCGTGCAAGCCTAAGTAATGAAAAGTAATCAACAGAAAATCAATTAATTAGTCATAAAATCTCTTATGTTCAATAATCAATTCAACTTGAAAGCAAAAACAGAAACAATAATACTGGCGTAGAATATCTAAACCTGCCAATTCCAACCATCCATGCCATGGGGGTCGTCATCCAATTGAAAGCACTCAACATCCCCAGTATAATTGTAGAATACGCTTATGCCTTCGAATATCTGTTCTAACGTACTGGTCCCCACGGGAGAACCGTCGATCTTTTTGCAGACCTCTCTAATTGGGTGTCCAGGCAAAGGCATAATGAAGTTTGAAGGATATGGGTAGTTAACCATTGCCAAATAACTATAAGCAGAGCTTAGCCAGTCCGTGAGATCTTCTGTCCTCTTTAATGTCCTACATAAAGAGTTCTGTTAGTACATTCAAACCAATTAAAAAACATAAGAACCCTCACATTTCCTTCCCTTTTTATTTCCTCTTTTTCCTTACCTACACAAGTGAAAAGTTTTAGTCAGTTCGAGAAGACCATCATTTTTCTCACCCACCGACGTAAATACATCCCAGGACTCTTTTATGGTGTTAAAGCAGCTCGTACTTTCACGCTACATGATATAAACAAGATTGATCGTAAGTCAAGTAATAAGTACAAGAGGATAAAGAAATGACACCAATATCAAAGATTTAAAGGAAACTAAGGATGAGATTGAGAGACCTTGAAATCGTTGGAGACCAAGTCATAAAATATTTCTGTTGGAACGATATCTTCAAACTGAAGAATTGGCGCTGAGGAAGCAAGCGCGCCAATAGCAATGTGAGGATACTTGAGCCTCATCCATGACGCCAACACTGGTTTTCAGTTAAGAAACAAATGAAGATGAAGAGTTTTCGTTTCTTTTCTTCCTTGAGGTATGCAAAATACAAAACATCTCAACGTGACATTTTTCATAATTCACAACTTCAATATGTTGCAGAGAACAAATAATGAAAAAACATTTAAAGTTAATTTCACTTATGCCACGAACTATGGGATCATCTTTGCTTGCTCCAGATTTTAATTAGCGCCTTTACAGCCTAACAATTTAGATATTTGTCTACGTTTGAGATTCTATCTTCTGCCATAGAATCATTTTCAGGTGTTGGGTAGTTAAAAAAGATGAGGACCGTTTGAAATATTTTGTTGTTGGGTCTCACCAAATAAAAAGTTCTCACTTTGTTCATCATTGAAAGCTTCATAAATTGCTTGCACGGAGCGACCAGGAAAAAAAAAAAAAAAAAAAATGGTACTCCTAAAAAGGATTAATAGAATGTAACGTAAGGCACAAATTAGGACAAACTCTTTTAGTTGACAAAGTGAGACAATCCATAGTTCAGGAAAGTACCTATATGCATTAATCTCAAACTTTAAACTTTTTTTTCCTGTAATGTTCTATAATAAGCACAAGATAATGCAAAAGGCAAATGATGGCAAACCTCAAATCTATATCCAGAGGAAAACTACAGATAAAGAGCATTTTTTGCATCAATCAATCCAACTAATTCTATACAATCAACAGAGAAAGAAAGATATATATATATATATAGAGAGAGAGAGAGACTTACTTCCACCATACGAGCCACCAAACAAGACGACGGGGCAATCCTCCGCCGAGAAGTTCCGCTTCAGCTCCGTAATCAGAACAGCAAAATCAGCAAGTGCTTGCTCCGCCGTCAGATACGACAATGTCGACGCGTTCCTATACGCCTCTTCTCTGCTCCCGAACGGGATAGATTCTCCATAGTACCTATGCTGTCAATCAATTAATTAACATTCCCTTCAAAAATCCAATCTTTTCCTCTTTTCCCCCTTTGTTTCTCTCCAATTTTCTAGGGAAACAAACGGGATTTTACCTCGGGAAAGAGAACCATGGCGCCGAACTGGGGCGCGATTTCCCAGACGAAGCCGGTGTTGGCGGCGAACCAGTCAATGTCGCCCTCGTTGCCGCAGTAGACGAAGATGGGGCCCAGTCTGTTGGGCCCCACCCAGTGCTCCGTACTGATGAGGTACCGCTGCGAGAACCTGGGATGCTCCGAGAAGCTGAAGTGGTCGAGGCGCTGCGAGAAATACCTCGTTTCGTATCGGATTTCTTCACTGGTTTGTTGTTGTCGGAGACGAGGCTGGGTGTTGCGCGAGAAGTGGCCGGGGAAGCGTGGGGTCCATTTGGATGACGACGAAGCAAGCGACGGTGGAGATGAAATCAAGATTACGGCGTTGATGATGATGATGATTATCAGAAGAAGGTCGGAGGTTTTGGGTTTCGCCATTTCTGATAAGAGAAGTTTTCGAAAAGAGTGTTTCAACTGTTTGAGTTTGACTTCGGAGTGTTGTTTGCGTTTGTGAAGCTGGGCGTGGGGTTCCAGTACGGTCTGGACCACCGAACTCAGATCAGCGAATGGATGGGATTACGAAATTTTGAAAGCTTTGTTGTGTTGTTGCCATATGGCGTTTGCTTATTGGCTATTTTTTGTGAAAGTCCTCTGCGTCGTTGTTCACTTGCAATTATTGTTATGTTCAATATTCTATAGAATCGTCACGAACTAGGATAAGTATAAAGTTACTAAAAAGTGGGGATGTTGTTTATCTTTTAAAGTTTTGTTCTTTTTATAATTCAAAGTTAAGAAATATTACTGCGTTTAAAATTTATTTTAAAATAAATTTTATTTTTTTTATAAAAATAATGGATGGGATTACGAAATTTTGAAAGCTTTGTTGTGTTGTTGCCATATGGCGTTTGCTTATTGGCTATTTTTTGTGAAAGTCCTCTGTGTCGTTGTTCACTTGCAATTATTGTTATGTTCAATATTCTATAGAATCGTCACGAACTAGGATAAGTGTAAAGTTACTAAAAAGTGGGGATGTTGTTTATCTTTTAAAGTTTTGTTCTTTTTATAATTCAAGTTAAGAAATATTAGTGTGTTTAAAATTCATTTTAAAATAATTTTTGTTTTTTTTATGAAAATAAAAATATTTTTAATTTCAGATATAAATTATTTTTAAAAATACGTTTGATAGTTTTATCAAAAGATTATTTTTAATATAAAATAATCTATTAATGTCTCTCTCTTTACTCGAGAGAGAAGAAAATAAAAATAAAAAATAAAAAACGATTAAAAGTCATTTTTCATTTATTTCTCATTTTACACTAAACTAAAAAATCATTTTTATTTTTATTTTTTATCTTTAATTGTGTCAAACGTTATTTCTCTCTCATTTTCATTTTTTTTCTTAAAAAACATAAATTACACTAAACTAAAAAATTATTTTTATTTTTATTTTTTATCTTTAATTGTGTCAAACATTATTTCTTTCTCATTTTCATTTTTTTTCTTAAAAAACGTGAAAAATAAAAATAAAAACAACTCCAAGCCATTATGTTCAAATCAATGAATAAACGCAGACATACAACACATTCAATTACAAACTTTAATAGCTCCTTACATAACCAATATGGATAATTGGATCAACTGAAGAGACAATAGTTTGATTATCGTCGTATATGCGACTGAGGTTGACCTGCTGGATCATTCAATGAAGACGCTATATAATAGATAGGTTCGTGAATAGTTCATTTATTCTCTTCTAGTATATTGTTTTTTTATTATTATTTTGTTTCCTGCGGGGGGAAAAAAATTGCCTAATTATCCAGAGAGTAATATGATACCTATCCAAGTATATATATTTGTATTATATTATGAACTGAGAGATACAATATTTCTTCAGGTGTATGGTCAATGACGGATACTCCCAAATTTACCTCCTTCAAAAATTATGAGGTTATCAACGCCAATTGGCTCAAAATAGTTTGACGAGTTCATTAAGAACAAAATGCCCGTTTAATTCGCTGCTTCAAATTTTTAATTTAAGTTGAGATATGACTTTATGTGAGAGTTTTTTATTGTAATAAAAAAGTTAAAAGTGACTATTTCTGAGAGTTTTTTACTGTAACAAAACTCAAATCGGTGAAATGAACGGGACCAAAATAAATAGGAAAGATTGTTCTACATATATCTCATAATAAAGACAATTGCACAAGTACATATACTCTGTTCTTTCAAAAACTTATCACAGATTTGCAATCAAATATGAAAAGAAAGATAATAAAATAAGATGAGAGTAAACTTGTGACCTGTAAGGACATGATGATGAGTTCGGCCGGAAAATAACTTCATATTCATAGGAAGAAAGAAACAAAGCATATGATTAGGAAAATGACCAACTACTCCGAATCAGGTTAACGCCACTAATTACACGAGACTTAGAGCATATTTAATTGGAGGATTCGTTTTCTGATTCGAATCATGGTTCATAATTCGTTACAGTATTTTCTCTCATAAAAAATACACTTAAATTAAAAATGGTTCTAATCTCATGGTTCTAATCTATGAATCAAACGGGCTCTTAATTGATTAGTTAGGCATACTACTCATATTAACCGTATAAGTTAACAATGGTAGGGCCCATTACCAGTCCGATTAGTTATTTTTATAATACACACAAATAAATGAACAATACATCTACGAAAAGTTTTAAATTAAAAATAAAAGAAAATCATAAGGGTCGTTTGTTTCATACGTTTAAACTCATAATTTTGATTCTGCTATAGTGTTTTTTTGTTATAAAAAATTTAAATTTCAAATGTCAGAATTAAGAATCATTTGTTTGAACGCATGAACGGTCCTAACTATTAGTATAGTATTTAACATTATACTTAAAATTTTATACATTATAGGATATTGTATATAATATACTTTAATTTAAAAATGACATATAATTAAACAACACAGGTAACAAAAAGTAGGGTCGGGGAGACTGGTTTTTCCATGGTAAGCCCCACAAAAATCTGCAATGATTCCAATTATTTCTGCAATGATTTTAAGCAATCTGAGGTGAGGCTAACTTCCTCTGCATTACCATAGCGATGCATGTAAACTTTAGATCTATAATATCCAAATATCTTAGAACATCATAATTCTCACAGAATTATAATTATAAGCGTACCTTGACTTATTGCTTTGATTTGAAAATATCACTTGCACATGAAATTTGAAGGAGAAGTAGAATCTAAGTTTCTTTCTTTAGATCCTCTGTAATCTTTAATATATATTTTTTTTTTATGGAGAGAATATATACAAATTATTAGGTAGAGAGACGACTAGACTCTTATTTTATAGATCATGAATTAGTGCATTCCATCAAAGCACACATCCCCTCATAAGAGTTGTAAGCCCTCATAGCCAATAGAATTTTAGTATTAAGATAATTATTAAACCATTAAATAAAGGAAAATAGTAGAAAATATGCCAATATGAAAAGCTTAAGAAAGTATATAGGCCAATTTTTAGCTATAAAAATTAATAGGCCATAATTTGTCAAGTTATGGTTCATAACCAGATAAGTTATGGACAAATTTGTCAAGTTATGGTTCATAGTCAGACAAGTTATGGACAAAAATCGTGAATAACTTGTCAAGTTATAGTTCATAACCAGACAAGTTATGAACAAAAACAGTAATTTGGCCTATTTATTAACTTATGTAAACTATTGGCCTATTAATTTTAATTCATCTCAAATCTTGGCCTATTTCCCTCTTTCTCCCTTAAATAAATAATATTAATGGGCTTTTTATTTTGTTATGTGAGCCACATAATTCTTACATTCTCGCACTTGGCCATATAATATTCCTAACATGGTTTAATAGTAGAACAATAATGTGCACAAGTATGTTATACTAAAAGCTTTCCTTTAATTGACTACCACATACTATCATAATTAAACATAAAATATAATGTGAGCCATGGCGGTCGTGCGTTACTAAATCAACACACTCCCTTCCATGTGCTACATCATTAGACCTCTATTTAAAATGATCCATACTTGAGAGGTATAATAATATCCACTTTAATGTCTTTGTTAAGACTATCCTGTCAAACATTTATCTGTAACAATCATGTATACAATATTGAAAACAAGATATATTGAGAACAAAAGTGAGCTCATAGTGTCAAATCATTAAACAAAAATAAACATAATACAATAACATTAATGACGTCTAATAACACTCATTCTTTCAACATGTTCATTAAATGTTTTGGGTGATAATCCTTTTGTTAAAGGATCTACAATTATAAGATTGGTGCTAATTTGTTCAACTGACACTCTACGTTCCTAAACTTCTTGCTTGACGACTAAGTACTTAATATCCATACGTTTCGCACAATCTGAATACTTGTTGTTTTTGGCAAAGAAGACTACCGCGGCATTATCACAATAAATTTTCAGCGGCCTGGCTATACTGTCAACAACCCCAAGTCCTGAAATAAAATTCTGCAGTCATAAACCATGACTTGTGGCCTCAAAGTGTTGTCCCTAGTAAGGCTACCCAAGAAGGGGGTGAATTGGGTTTTAAATATTTTTTGAGAGCTTATACAATTATTCAAAATTAAAATCAAATATAGACAATTAATTCAACTCAGTGTGTTTATCAAACATTCGGTGTGCAGAAAATTATGTAAGCTAATGCAATAGCACAAACACTTGATATGCACAAGATGAATCAATCTAATATCATATAACGAGTTCAAGAAGCTTATCACAAAGAGTTAAATCAATCAATGTCAACTATCAAATTTAAAGTGCGGAAAATAGAGAGATAGGGTTAAGAGAGATGCAAACGAGATTTAGAGTGGTTCGATAAATAAATTTGCCACATCCACTGTCGCCGAGATATTTCGCCTCTCGACCTCTTCCACTATACGATCGACTTTCCGGCACGATCACTCCTCTTACAAGATGGCGAATCTGTCTATCTGAGGCTTCGCCTAACCTCTTACACAATGTTGATTTTCTACGGAGATCGACCAACCAAGAAATCCAATACCAAAGTAATGATTATGAATTGTGAATCACTCAGTCATACACTCCTAACAATGGTTTTACACAATTGAAATGACTAGGAGATGATGAAATCACACTATCAAAATATAATCCAAGGTAGGCTCAAGTATGTGTGAGAGAGTGAAGTAAGGATTTTGAGAAGATGATGATTATGTTGGCACTTTAGAGAAACCTTTTTTGGATTTTAAGAGATTTAGGAGCTCTGAATAATTTCTCTATCTCAAGGAAAATCCGCAGAAGAGAAAATTAATTTTTCTCTATTTAACCTCACTTTCCAACGGTCTTATTTTTTTCCTGTTTACCTAGTACCGGTCGACCGGAGCGGTTGACCGGTTGAGACAAATTTAAATTCTCGCTATTCAACGGTCTTATTGAATATCTGTTGAACAAAACCGGTCGACCGGAGCGGTTGACTGGTTGAGACAACATCGGTCAACCGGTGTATTTAGCCT